CACATCTTGCAGGTGGGATAGATTGTAGGTCAAGGGTTTTGTGGCTGGGTTGGTGCCCCAGTTCCATCATTGATTACAGAGGTTGACTGATTCAGGCTCTGAATCCTTCATTACTAGCAATCCTTGTTAGGGGATCACCCTAATAGACTCCTGAGGTTTTTCTACCACCCTAGGCTTCCCTATTGACTCCCCAAATGTCCTCCAATTTCAGTCTTCTCTTCACATACTCTCTTTATCCATTACACACACACACACACACACACACACACACACACACACACACACACACACCCACACACACACACCTGATCCTTCCTGTTCTCATTTCTACCACTACCAATCCACTGGGAAAATCTATTCTAGTTCCTATTCTCAAGGAGAACCATGTATCTCTCCTAGAGCTCTCCTTGTTACTTAGCTTTTGGGGTTCTGTAGATTGTAGCATGGGCATCATTTACTTAACTGCTAATGTCTACTTAGAGGTGAGTACATACCATGTTTGTTTTTCTGGGACTGGGCTACATCATTCAGAATGATTTTTCTCTAGTCCCATCCACTTGGCTGCAAATTTCATAATGTCATTTTTTTAAAAGCTAAGTAATACTTCATTGTGTAAATGAACCACATATTTATCCATTCTTCAGTTGTGGGGCATCTAGGTTGTTTCCAGTTTCTGGCTATTATGAATAAAGCTGCTATGAACATAGTTGAGCAAGTGTCCTCATGGTGTGATCAAGCATCCTTTGGGGCTTGTGGTAGATCAGTTCCCAGTTGATTTCCACAGTGATTGGGTAAGTTTGCACCAGCAATGGAATAGTGTTCCCCTTGCTCTACATCCTCACCAGGAGGAGCTGTCACTTGACTTATTGTTCTTAGCTATTAGGACAGTCATTTTTATTTGCATTTCCCTGATAACTAAGGATGTTGAACATTTCTTTAAGTGTTCCTTAACCATTTTAGATTCTTCTGTTGAAAAATATCTGTTTAGAACAGATAATTGGATTATTTGTTTTCTTGATAGCTACTTTCTTAAGTTCTTTATATATTTTGAATATTAGCCTGTTGGGGGTCTCTGGGGACCCCTGGGTCAAGGTCAGAGAGGGTAGAGTATGCTGTTTGCCCATTACACAGCCTCCCTGAAACCCAGAGACAATCAGACACAACAGGAAGTCAAGTCAAGCAAGATCTCATTTATTAACAGCAAAGCCCTCTTAAAGTAAAAAAGACCACAAGATGGGAAAAGTATTACCCAATAATTTTAAAGGTATTCCTATTATGTATCTAGTGTCCTATCCCCTCTTGGGCACAGTCTGCTCATGTGATGACCTCATCTGGTGTGAGTTTAGGCAGCCAATTGTTTTTCTTAGTAAACAATTGAAGCCTCACCTCTGTAGCTTCCTCCCAGTCTTGTGATGCCTCTGGTCATCAGCTTGAGCCACTCCCTCTTCTGGCAGGACATGATCTGTGTTCCTCCACATTAGCCCTCTATTATATGTGGCCTAGTTGAAAATCTTTTCAAATCCCAGCACTCAGGAAGCAGAGGCAGGCATATCACTGTGAGTTTGAGGCCAGCCTGGTCTACAAAGAGTTCCAGAACAACCAGAGCTGTTATATAGAGAAACCCTGTCTTGAAAAACAAAAAAATGAACAAAAATCTTTTCCCATTCTGTAGACTGTCACTTTGTCCTACTGAGCACATCCCTTGCCTTACAGAACTTTTTCAGTTTCATGAGGTCCCACACATTAGTTGTTGATCTTAGTGCCTGCCCTATTGGTGTTCTGTTCAGGAAGTTGTCTCCTGTGCCAAGCTATTCTCTTCTGTTAGGTTCAGTGTATTTGATTTTATACTGAGGTCTTTTGATCACTTGTACTTGAGTTTTATGCAGGGTGATAGATATGAATCTATTTGCATTTTTCTACATGTAGACATCAAATTAGTTCAGTGCCATTTGTTGATGATGCTTTTTTTTATTTTTACTATTGTGTATTTCTGCCTTTTTATCAAAAATTAGGTGTCAGTAGATGCGTAAATTTATGTCTAGGTCTTCAGTTTGATTCCATTGATCAAGGTGTCTGTTTTATGCCAATATAATGCAGGGTTTTTTCGTTTTTTGTTTTTTTGTTTTTTGTTTTGTTTTTTTGTTTTGTTTTTTTGTTTTTTTGTTTTGTTTTTTTGTTTTTTTGTTTTTTTTTTTTGTTTTTTTGTTTTTTTTTTTCGAGACAGGGTTTTTCTGTGTTGCTTTGGATCCTGTAGTATAGCTTGGAATCAGGGATGCCAATACCTCCAGAAGCTCTTTTATTGTTCAGGACTTTATAGCTATCTTGGGCTTTTTGTTTTACGTATGAAGTTGAGTATTTTCCTTTCAAGGTCTATAGAGAATTGTGCTGGAATTTTTATGGTGATTGTGCTGAATTTGTAGATTGCTCTTGGAGGATGGCATTTTTATTATGTTGATCCTCCAAATCCATAAGCATGGGCTATCTTTCCTTATTCGTATATTTTCTTCAATTTCTTTCTTCAAAGACTTGATTTTTATCAGACAAGTTTTTTTGTTTATTTTTCGTTTTGTTTTGTTTTGTTTCTCAAGACAGGGTTTCTCCATGTAGCTTTGGAGCCTGTCCTGGAACTTGCTCTGTAGACCGGACTAGCCTCAAATTCACATAGATCCACCTGCCTCTCCCTGCCAAGTGCTGGGATTAAAGGTGTGTGCCACCACCGCCTGGCCTCATACAAGCCTTTTGCTTTTTTAGTTATATTTACTCCAAGAAATTTTAGATTATTTGTGGCTGTTGTGAGGGGTGTTATTCCCCTGATTTCTTTCTCAGTATATTTGTCATTTGTCTATAACCACACAAAAATTCAATCAAGAAAGAGAATTACAAAGCAACTTTCTTATGAACATAGATGCAAAAACAATAAAATACAATCAGATTTCAAGAACACATCAAAAGATTATCCACATGACCAAGTAGGTTTCATCCTAGAGATGTAGGGATTGGTCAACATACAAAAATCAGTCAATGTAATCTACCACATAAACAACTAAAGAAAAGGAAATATTTTTATGTAAATGGGCTTTGTAATCTGACACATATTTTTAACTAGGATAATGTTTATAAGCCCTAGAAAACCATGACAGTTTTAGAAAGGATTAGTGTTTCAAAGAACAACTCCATTTGAACACTATTTTGTCTTCTGTCACATCTCCCTTGAATTTGTGGACTTTAAACTCAATTGTCCCTTGAATTATATTCTTCTATTGTGTATAGACACATATCAGTAAGTATGATGAATGAATGAACAAATGAATTAACGAACAACCCAGTGTAATTTTCTCAAGGAAATATGTAGGGATTTTGAAAACTGAAAATCCCATACTGTTTAAGACAACTCTGAAATCAACACAACCAGGTGGTTAGTTAGTTTCCATGTGATGGTTATTTTCATGCAACTATAACCAAAGTACTTCAGAGAACAACACACAAAGAAGAAAGGTTTATTTTGCCTTATAGTTTCAGAGGTTTGGCTTCCCATTCCTTGACTTTTATTCTCCTTCTGGACCATGAGACCACAGTTGAAAGAATCTGGACAAGACCTGTGGAGCATAGTATAGAGGTAGGCAGAATTGGGTGCAAAGAAGAGCAGAACTCATTCTGAAGGGAGATAGTGGATAATGGTCAGAGAGACCAGTGTATCAGTCTGCATGTTAGGAAGGCTTTATACCAGTTCTAAAGTCTTTTGAAGAAGCATCTACCTGAAGGACTTTGTCCTAAGCATTCAAGTAGTTGGCAGAACATTTGGATTGACTCTTACAGGAGAGGGCAATGATATGTCTTTGTTTTTTGTTTGTTTGTTTGTTTTGTTTGTTTTATTCAGAAAGTCTCCTGCAACGCAATATGCAGTGTTTAAGACTCCTGCAGCCAGACTTAAATAGTTACCTGTTACTGATATCCCAGGCAGTTTAGCAAGGCAAATTTCTTCCCATAGTGAGATATAAGACTGGGGTACTATTCTTCTGACCAGTTATTAGAGTCATGTAATTCCAGTCTTTTTGTTTTTTTCTCGGGGCTGTTGATTATGAGGGAGGTTTCTCACTTGGTGTCCTCCAAGCCTACTAAAGTTTAAGTGGATACCTAACAGTGAGAAAGAAGAGCTTGGTGGTGGGAGAATGCAGACGTGGAAGCTATTCACTTCATGAAGGGAAGGAAGTGGGCAGTGAGGAAGGTATCAGAGAATAGGGGATGCTCAAAATTATGGCTCTTGGGACCCCCTTCCTTCATCTTTCCATTTTAACATCTCCCAAGAGAGTGCTACCAGCCAAAGTTCAAACATACAGTAAATGAGTGTCTTGGAGAGACAGATTATACTCCAGCTGTAACAAGGAGTAAGAATATTTTCTGAAGCGTTGGAGAAAGCAGAATTATGTGGTAAGAGCTGTGCCCAGTGCCAGATCAGAAACAGGCAGCAATTTTTCCTGTCTGAGTCAAGGAAGCATGGTACTAGCAAAAGTTTGTGGGCAGTAATCAAAACAAAACATTTCCAAATGCAGAATTGAGAAAGCAAAGCAACATTAAGAGTTGATTCCTTTATCAAAGTCAAACAATTCAAAGCTGAAAGTCGGACAAATAGAAGCGATATGAACTGTATGTGAGCTTCGCTGAAAGATCTGAGAGCCAAAACAGTGACTAAGTGCAGTGATCTCGTCTTCTGAAGAAGGAAGCTCCTTTTAGAAAATTACCAGCATTAGGTTTACCTCCTAGCCACTTCATGCTCGTGGTCATTGTATTTATGTATTAAATATAAATATGCATAAACAAGTTCTGTTCATGGGAGAAGAGAAGCTAGGAGGTTATGTCAGGGGTTTTTCAAGGCTTATGGAAATGAACGACCGTGTTTATCTTATCATCACCGGTAATTCTTACACCTACATTGTATTTATTCAAGAATATGAACATGGCTAAGCAAACCTGAACAAAACTGTACTTTATTGATTTTGCAGAGTTCCCAGGAAGATTTCCGAGGCATGGAGCTGCCAGCGGGTTTGAAAGCAAGTGAAGTGAATGTGAAGGTGCCACAGCACGACTAAGGTCCACGGACACCCACCAACCAGCTCCTCTCTGGCAGAATCTTTAGATTGCTGTGTAATATGCTGCCTTTGCAAGAGGACAAGAAACTAGTACCCAAAAGACGTGTTCTTCAGCACTGGGACTAGACCTGTTCTCAAGACAATGGCTTCAAAGGTCTCCTGCCTATATGTTTTGACCGTTGTGTGCTGGGCCAGCGCTCTCTGGTACTTGAGCGTAACACGACCTACTTCGTCCTACACTGGCTCAAAGCCATTCAGTCACCTAACAGTTGCTAGGAAAAATTTCACATTTGGCAACATAAGAACTCGACCTATAAACCCACATTCTTTTGAATTTCTTATAAATGAGCCCAACAAATGTGAGAAAAACATTCCTTTCCTTGTGATCCTCATTAGCACCACTCACAAGGAATTTGATGCCCGCCAGGCAATCCGGGAGACCTGGGGGGATGAGAACAACTTCAAAGGGATCAAGATAGCCACACTTTTCCTCCTGGGCAAAAATGCTGATCCTGTTCTGAACCAGATGGTGGAGCAAGAGAGCCAGATCTTCCATGACATCATAGTGGAGGACTTCATTGACTCCTATCACAACCTCACCCTCAAAACTTTAATGGGGATGAGATGGGTTGCCACTTTCTGTTCAAAAGCCAAGTATGTTATGAAAACAGACAGTGACATTTTTGTGAACATGGACAACCTTATTTATAAACTCCTGAAACCATCTACCAAGCCAAGAAGAAGGTATTTTACTGGTTATGTCATCAATGGCGGGCCGATCCGGGATGTCCGCAGTAAGTGGTATATGCCTAGGGATTTGTACCCTGACAGCAACTACCCACCATTCTGTTCAGGAACTGGCTATATCTTTTCTGCTGATGTGGCTGAACTCATTTACAAGACCTCGCTCCATACCAGGCTGCTTCACCTTGAAGATGTGTATGTGGGACTGTGTCTTCGAAAGCTAGGCATACATCCTTTCCAGAATAGTGGCTTCAATCACTGGAAAATGGCCTACAGTTTGTGTAGGTACCGCCGTGTCATCACTGTCCATCAGATCTCTCCAGAAGAAATGCACAGAATCTGGAATGACATGTCAAGCAAGAAGCATCTCAGATGTTAGGGTTTTTATCACTGTAAATAAGTTTCTTTTCTAAGAAATGGGGACTAATGTGTTGGCATTTTACAGGTGTCACCAAGGGAAAATGAACTGGTAAGGGGTTTTGTAAAGTTTTTGCTTCCTGATCCTAGTTCCTTTCTTGGATCACTAATTTACAAGTATTGGGCTCAGTCATAGAAACAGTGAGTTAGAAGGGACAGATTTCATTCTCAGGTCCTAAGACATTGCCATTTGTTTCCAAGAGTGACTCTAATAACTGCTAGAATTTATGCACTGTGCCTCTGAGATCGAAATCTGGGTCAGGAAATGGGAACTCACCCTAAGGTCTTCATATCATCACCACAAAAATACATAGTAACTCTTAATAAAAAAAAGAAGTCAAAAGACATATAGTCAGGAAGACACACCAGATGTGATTTTTAATGCTGTGTGTTATTGTCACATTGGATTTTTACACATATTGCCGTGGAATGTGTATAGAATTTGTGATTCTATCAATAATTGATTTTACCCCTGGTAGGGAGACTGTGATGAAATAGATTGGGAATTGAAACTTGAGAATCAATTATTCTGTATGTATAGAAAACACCTAGGCTTATACTTCTGAGGATTAAATCTAGTCAACAGGTGGGATGTACATAAAATGCTATTTTAAGTAAACAAACAATCTTTTTTCCTTTTCAGAACAAATATTACATGGTGCCACCAAGGAGACTGCCAAACATAATACTGTCACCTGTTTCCGTCCATGCAATGCCTTTAAGTGAATTTTCCGGTTTTGGATCAGGCAGGTGGATGTCTCCATGTATAGAAAACAAGTTGGTAGGAGGCTCAGAAACAATACATAGCAATTGATTAAATGCAAATTTAGTATATATTCTAATTAGCATAAGCTTAGCAATAGTGTACAATGCCCCTCTGACTTATTTGCAAAGCATGTGGGAAAATCTTTAACAGGTAACAGTGTTATTGAAAGATGTGGCCCGGCTACCAACAAACATTATATTCTCATGACATCTAAAACATTTAAGTACTTATAGGGGCAAAGCTGTTTCGAGATGTTCTGGAGGTTCTGTGGCTGAGATCCAAGGGAAGGAAGAACGGGGAAGCCTGATTTCAGATCCCATTGATGCCACAAATTAGATGGACCATATGAATGGGCATCTCATTTTTGATGTGCTTCTGTATGCTCACTTGTAAAATGGCTAAAAAGAAAAATCTACCTCACAGATACTGTGAGAGCAAATCACATTTGCTAATAAGTATTTTGAGGTCTTTAGTTTAAAAGGTGCTACGTAATGCCATGTATCATGCATTATGCTAAATGCTAAAACGATTACAGTAATTATAAAGATAGCCATCAGTTATGGTAACATCATCGTAATATAACAATTTACAAAATAAAGATTGACTGTGAACTATATCAGTGTACCTAATTCTTCCAAGACTTTGATGTTTCCTTGGCTATAAGTTAGTTGATTGTGGAAGCTTCAATTTCTCTGCCATGTCTTGGTTTTGGTGGCAAATCTGTCACTCCGGTGTGTTGCCTTGGTATCCCAGGATGTTGAAAAGCATTTGCTTTGCTTTGGGAAGGAGCTTTGCATATGCTTTGCAAAATGTATCCTCACAACTTAAATCATAGGAAACGTTTGCCCAGCATTCTTAAAACTCTTTAGGACAACTGGAGCTAATCTACTCCACAAAGAGGAAGAAGCAGTCAGCACACCCATTCATTAGGGAACTCACTGTTGTCATGCAAAGCCCCACACCTGAAAGCAGTCTTTTATCTATTTTATTTGCACCTTGATGGTTGGAATACCCCCCATAGAAGCTAATAGGGATCCCACTAGGGAGACATAAGGAAGAAATGGAGTCCCATAGTCACATTGTCTTACTAGCCCCTAAGTACTAAATGACACAGGATTTCCCATCCTTTAATATGAGTTTGATTACTGCACAGTGTCAAGTGTTCTGGGAGGACATGAAGCAGGACAAGGTTAGCCAACCTCCCATCATCCAGCCTCAACTGTCATTGAACTCCAGTCAATGGGAAAGCCTCATTTGTTCCCAGTTGCATAGCTGAATGCAGTCTCTGTCTCCTACGATGGCCTTGCACCTACTCCATGCTCAGCCAAGCCACTTTTCATGTCAAAGAATCTCACATTATAATAATCATGACTGTACATCTATGAATGTTTTATATGTATGTGTGGAATATGCATAGAGCCCTAATCTTGAAAAGGAGCAAAAATCAGAAAATCACGTCTTAAAGAACTATTTCTTCACTTTTTTATGCTACATAGTGCCCGTATGACAAACATGTAAATGGACATCAATGATTACATGTACATAATTTAAAGGAGCTCTTTTCTTCTCTTCGATTGTAGGAACAGCTAGAATCTGCTTGATGTGTAACATTTTCCTCTGCATGGAACTTGGTGAGGCAAGGCCATTTGTCCAGTATTTCAATAGCCTTAAGCATGTTTGCCTTTGGTTTTTTTGTTTTGTTTTGTTTTTGTTTTTTGCTTTTTTTTTTTTTTTGGATGTTCAAAAAAATGTTTAACTTGTCAAGGAAAAGCTCTAATTTTCTGCTTTTGTTAGTTCTATTACAAGAAACTGGTCAGATTACTGTCATGGTTATTTATTAAACCATTCTTACCATTTCTTTAAGAAAAAATCGTAATAATGGCAGTATTCTGGGGCTGGGGGTGGAACCCAGTGGTAAAGTACTTGCCTAGCATACAAAGGGCTCCAGGTTCAGTCCTCAGCACTGCAGTGATGAAGTCAAAATAGTGATGGCTCTAGTGGACTAAAAGTCACTCAAAAAAAATTTTTTTTCCCAAACACTGTCTGACTCCCCTTTATTTCTTCATTATGTACTGGATAACATCAGTGTCTATAATCTTAGAGTTTCTTCATTTATTTCTTAGAGGAAAAAAAATGTTTTCTCTTTGGTGCCTCGTTTATGTGGCTTTGTGTCTTCTTGGAGCAGTTTCAATATACAACAATGTAACAATGTACTTTCAAATAACCAGATTCAAAACATGAAGATCACTTTTGATATGAATTAAATGTGGACAAACAAAACCCCTTATGTGATAAGATATGGGGGGAAATACATTCTTTACAGAGAAGCCAAGGAAGGAGTTTTTTCAATCAAATTTCTTCTAACAAAAGACAATGGAATATTTATGTACAGTATCTGGAATTCATTTTCTACCTTTCCTAATATGTGGGTTCAGTACGGGAATTGATTGTATCATTTCTGTAAAGGTGAAGAAATGTTTTATAAGCAACAGGTAACTTGTGAATGAAAGAAATAATTTACTAGAAACGCTTGATGATAATTGACATTTAGGTATATTGTTATATATGAATGATTGTATTTATGTATTTATTTGTTCAAAATTGTACATATGGTTTTGCCAAAAGTAACTGTGTTAAAGTGCACTCTCTGGGTTTGTAGTACTATTTAGGGTTATATGGGTTGCCAATCAAGCTGCTAATCAGAATACTATTTTTTTGTATCAGTGTTACAACATGTGACAAATAGAAGAAGCTGTCTTTTCATCACTTTCCTTATCTTCCTCTTGAAATGTAAACTGTTGGTTGAAAGCACGATGCTAATGTACAGGCCCATCTGTTAAGGGGAAGGTCACGGTTTCATAAAGCTGATTTTTTTAATTCCTGGGACAAATAAACAAAAGAAGAACTCATCCTATTTTTTTCTGCTTCTTTTGCATGGCTCTCTTTGGGGAGATGCGATTGCTAAGAATAGTTGATGCCCACCCGATATAATCTTCCTAAAGATTTCAGCACAGCCAATGGTTTAACCAACTCAGAGCTCACTCATAACAGCATGAAGCAAATTAGTGATTAACTTGGAGGCTGTTTTGACCCAACAAATAAACCAAAGACTACCTCTGGGTAGAAGGACATGTTTCCCAATTGCTTCTCATTGGCTTCTGAGAAGTGTTTTTATTGGCCCATTAGGTGTGTATATTGAAAATTCCACCTGCAGAGGGGCATTCTGTTGAGAACTTGCTTAGCAAACCAGGGAAGTTTAAATCTAAAGAAAAACATCATTTAATGTTTCACCCATATATCTGTTTTTGAGTATCATATGAGTTTATGAATGGGAAAGTTATTCCAACATTCGGTAGCACAAATGGGTAGATGCTGACGCCTGATTGCTAACTATAAGCAAGAGACTAAGAGCTAGTTAAGAAACAAAAGGGTTTTTACATTATTATTAATTTTGATTCAGCTAAACTGGCCTTCACTTTCTAAAGGAAATATAAATTTGGGTTTAGCCCCTCCTTGCCTTATACATCCAATTTCACAAAGGCAAAAACATAAGCTGAAATGTATGAGTCAACAATAAAAACATAAAATATGCAGTTTTGTGTTCCATGTGACTTTTTAAAAGAGAGCAATATTCTCAGAATCTTGTACCCCGATCAGAAAAAAAAAGTCCTATTCATTTGCAGACACATTAGAAATTGAAATTCGTTATCTGTACCACAAACTTGAAGATGTAGCTCAGCAATCTACATTGTAGGTGCCCCAGACACACGCTAAAGTTAAGGGTACAGTTCTAAAGTGGAGACAGTCATGCCACAGTCTATGAACTACATCCAGCCCATTTCTCATGAGCTAAGAAGGATTTCATAAAGAATATGTGGGCCCTTTGATTGAACTCAATCTATACAATGTATTACAACAATAGTAGGAGGGCTATACTTTCTAGGAGTAGATGTATTTTGAAAAATTAAAATCATTGCTGTATTTGATTGGTGAAAAATCAATCAAAATTTTCATCAATCCAAAAAGCACTCAACTTTACTTTCTGTCTTGAGTACTTTCCTATACCTACAGTTCTGATGTCTTAACCTAAAAGTTGAAAATATTAATTATTTGGCCCTTTGTCAGAAAGTCTTGCCATCTTTGGTCTAGAACGAGAGAGAAACACTGCAAAAGATGTAAGACACAAAAATCTCTCCACGTATGTATAAGGAATCACATGGGCCAAGCATACTAGCATTGTCTCTTCCCCATATAGCCAGAGAAGTGACAATGTAGTCATGATTACAAATTATGTTGAAAATCAACAGCTGCATGTATTTTTAAAATAGTTCCTTTCTCTCTCTGAATGATTTTTAAAAATTATAAAGCTTGATTTTAATTACAACAATTACCCATAGTTTAATTAATATATTGGTTAAAGATGTGTGGGTATCAAACCAAAGAGGGTGGGTCTCAAATAGCTTGATTGTCATAATTACAAGCATTCTGTTTTCTCATTTACTTAATTGATTGTCATAGATTTCCAGATGAATTCACACCACTGGAAGAGAACTGAATGTATTCCTAAAAGAGGGAGAAAAAACGTAACAGAAATGGGACTGTTTAGAAAACATCGAGTAATCCATGTGAGCATGCAAAATGTCTCTTGATAACATCTTTTTACCTCTTCACTGGTTAAAATGAGCACTTTTTAAGTTAAAAGAAATGAATTTTTTTCTGGGCGGTGGTGGTGCACGACTTTAATCCCAGCACTCAGGAGGCAGAGGCAGGCTGATCTCTGTGAGTTCGAGACCAGCCTGGTCTACAAGAGCTAGTTCCAGGACAGCCTCCAAAGCCAGAGAGAAACCCTGTCTCAACTCCCCACCCCCCCAATAAAAAAACAAGAAATGAGTTTTTAAAGTATTATTGATTCAATCCATCTGTAATAACAGGGACTCTACTGTGTCAGCTAGACTTGTCTAGATGTAATAACAGTGACTCTACTGTGTCAGCTAGACTTGTCTGAAACTCAAGAAACTTTTCCATTCCATTTTCCTATGGAATCTGTTAGTTTATATATTATGTCAATGATTCGGGATGCCTCTTGCAATAACCTTGGCCCTCACCTGATGGAAACATGGCATAAATGATGTTTATTCTCTCTCAGAGATGTAGTTCAGAGTGTTTGCAAGCAGTGACCCCCGGACACAGCAAGCATGAAGGAGTTCCATGTAGTTGGTGGTGGTGATAAAGACTTTTTCAAGGATGATCTCAGCAAGTGTGAGGTGAGGGGGAGAAGCACACTAGAGAATTTCTACCATTACAATATCTTTAAATGTGTTTAATCTTAACTGCAGCCCTGTTCAGTAGATGCTGCTATCTTCACTTGACAGATGGGGAAGCAGGAATCAAGAGAATTTTGTAATTTAAAGGGTGAATCCGGGCCTCTCACTTTAAAGTCCATGTTCATTACTAAGATGTAAAAAAAAAAAAAAAAACACATAAAGGGAACAGAAAACAACAGAATAAAAATCTGAAAGTAACATTTAAGCAACATGTAAGTGAAAGATTCAGTAATGTTAAATCATTGATTTCATTCTGTCAAAATCTAGTGAATATGAGTAACATCAAAAATCCATGACCCTACTTGCTTAGGTAAGCCCATTTCTCTAGGAAGTTTAGTAGAGCTTCTAGCCCTCAGAGCTCAGACATGTTTCAGAAGAGGGATCGATGGTCTATAAGTTCAATTACATATATTCCCCAGTGGAAGCAAAGGGTCCCTTGGAGAGACATCCATCCTGAGCTACCTCATTAAGAAGACAAGCACTCTGTACTCTGGGTCTATCTCCACATCTGCACCCTTCCTCAACCACACTCATATGGGCTCTTCTCTGTCTATTTTTGCTTCCCTTTGACTGGCTTTTGCAATGTATGTTAGTTACCCTTTTCTTTAGGAAAAAAAAAAGACACTTTACAATTGCAAACCTCAAAGAAGCATCTGGGTTAACCTGGAAAGCAAACCACCTGTGATAAAACTTCTTTCCTAGGAGGGTACAGACCACAGGCAGCATGTGTGTGAAAAACAACTGGATAAGGGAGTCTGGGTTTCTCAGATGGCCTCATGCCTAGCTGCTACCTGGGAATCTTACTAAAACAATGAGTGGTGGCTCCCAGACAATGCTAATACTATGTAGATGATTCTACAAAGCTAGATTCTTTTTTGTTTTGTTTTGTTTTTGTTTTTTGTTTTTCGAGACAGGGTTTCTCTGTGTAGATTTGGAGCCTATCCTGGCACTCTCTCTGGAGAACAGGCTGGCCTCAAATTCACAGAGATCCGCCTGCCTCTGCCTACCTAGTGCTGGGATTAAAGGCATGTGCCACCAACGCCCGGCCAAAGCTAGATTCTATGAAGGAATACTACCAAAGGCAGTTATTTGGGCCCTTATCAAGCAGTGTGTGTGTGTGTGTGTGTGTGTGTGTGTGTGTGTGTGTGTTCCCTTTGTAAACATTCACAAAGAAACAAGAATTTTGGAAAAAGTGAATATTAAGATCTTGAAGGTCTATGTGATTCCAGCACTTGAGAGTTAAAAGCAGGTGTTCAAGATCAGCCTCTGCTACATAGTTGGTTTGATGTTATCCTGAACTCTATGAGACCTTGCCTTAAAGCAAAACAAAACAAACACTTGTGTAGTTTTTAAGTCAGAAACTGATTCTCTTTCTTCCTCTCTGTCTCAGTCTCCCTCCCCCCCCTCTCTCTCTCTCTCTCCCTCTCTCTCTCTCTCTCTCTCTCTCTCTCTCTCTCTCTCTCTCTCTCTGTGTGTGTGTGTGTGTGTGTGTGTGTGTGTGTGTGTGTTATAGTTTTATCCTAAGACCTGTTGAAGTAAGTTGAGGTTCTACAAGGAAACAATACACACCAAAAGCAAAAATAGTTGAAAGGAAAACATTGTACTACTATTTTGGTGTTTGTTGTGGTTTAAGCAGTAACTAATAAGCAAACATTTCAGGTATTGGGGTCTTGATCCCATGCTTATGGGTCCAATCACTCACAGATAGGTTAACTGATAAATTCATCAATCCCCTCATAGATTCATAATTTTATGTCCTTTATATCCTGGTAATAGAAACCAGGCTGAAGGAATTGGGTACATGGACAGCATCCAGTATCCATTGTGGCCCCTTCCTTTCTACATTTTTTGTTTGTGGCCTCTACAAGGTCAGAAGCTTTGCTCTTCCACACCTTTCCACCATAAATTTCTGCTTCTTCAAAGCTGAAAAACAAGAGTTGACTGTCCATACTCATAAACCCCTGAAACTGTGAACCCAAATAAATCCTTTCTCCTTGTAAACTGTTTTTTTAGGTATTTATCACACCAACCGAATAGCTGACTAAAGTTACCTAGGGCCCAGTTACCAAATACAAGATACTATACTAAAACAAATTTGAAAACAAATAGAGATTCATGACCTACTAGCCAGCTGAAAATAAGGTCTAATAGCTTTGCCTTCCCAACAACTACTACTTACCAAGATGTAGGCATACTGACAACACAGAGAATGGATGGGAAATAAGGATGGGAGATAGGGATGGGAGATAAGCAACAAGTCTAACTGGGCTACTGGGCTCCTGATCCCAGAGCATGGAGGTAACAGGAAGCTGGAAGGAACACAGTGCAGGAGGTCACAACAGTCTGTTGTATGTCAACAAACGTTAACCAACCCCACACATGCCACATAAAATGCCAAATTGTTCCCCAGGAATATGACCATTCCAAGTAATACACCTCTTGGAAGGACTAATGTTTGGTGTAGGGGACAGACACTTTTGTGCATGAAAAAAAAATTAAATAGTATCTAGGTTAGTCCCTCTCCCAGAATGAATTCAATATTTATCATTTCCTCCATTTGGTAGCTGAGTAATCAAGAAATTAAG